ATATGTGACAGTTTGAGGCCCAATATGTTATGATTAGGGGTAGACAGATTTGTCATTTAATTATAACAAATGAGAAAATTGAGAAAATAAATGTTTTAAACTAAATAAATGTAATGTTTTCATACAATATTTACTCAATATAACACTGTACCCACCAAGAAAGATCAACCCCACTCTTTTGCAGGGCACCATGCATTAGAAGAGCTCCAAGGAGCAAAGTCAAGCTGAAGCGAAAGAAGAACAGCAGAGGGCGACATTCAGGCACAGTCCTGTTCAGAAAAATCCCCAGCAAGACCCCTGTGGAGAGAGTGCATAAAGATACAAATATAATATAATATAATTAATATAATATAATATAATATAACAATTTCTGACCTGCCAGAAGACCTGCAATGACTTGATGTGGGAAGTGAGCTAAGATGAAGATTCGAGAGAGGCCTACACATGCCAAAAATACTGCATACAACAGATACGGCACTGCAGCTAATATCTTACTGTAAGAGAGATAATTTAGTTCGTTTTACATATGAATAACTAACATTTCTATTATATCACGAGAGCCTTAAAGACAGACCTGCCTGTGCGAGTGTGAAAGAAGGAGGCCAGGAAAGAGACGATCACCCACCAGACAGCACCAGTGACCATGGCATGACCGGACGGACTGCCTGAGAGAGACAGACGAGGAATCGGTCAGTCAGCAGCTCGTTTCAAATGTCTTCACATCCGGAAATGGTTCAGGTAAAGTGATGTGTGATAAGGAGGTTTACTTTGCTGCTTTACCTGGGCCGGTCTCACAGGTAGACAGGAACTGCTGGACTTTTGGTGGGTTTTTAGAAAACAATCCAGAATGTCCAATCCACCAATAAGGCCTCTCGCCAAACAGGATCCTAACACAAAATGTCAACATGTGAAATCATGTGACTGAGAACTAAAATAATCTTAATAATCTATTATAGAAATAATGTAAATATTACTAGGTTTTACCCATTTGTCTGCAATAAGTTTTTAATAATTTAAAGGGGTCATATGATGCTGCTAAAAAGAACATTATTTTGTGTATTTGGTGTAATGAAATAATGTAGTACGATCACCTATTCTTTTATATATTTTAATAAGTACAGGTCAGAATATATCTGTCACACTGAATGACGATGGAACATCATTTCACCCATATTTTAACGTTATATTCACAACAGTTATTTGAAAAATTAAAGTAGACTTTACTTGCGTTTAATATGTTTTATGTGAGTATAAAATCACTTGCAAATCATTTATAAATTTCATTTGATTCGGACACCAAAATGAGACATCCTGTCTTTGACCCATATATATGATCACTTTGAATGCATTTAAAATGTTTTTTTTTTCCATGGAACATTATATATATATATATATATATATATATATATATGTGTGTGTGTCAATATCAATTTAATAATCTTTTGATTATTAATCAATAGTGCATTTAAAGTGATAAATATTATACATAAAGTGATGTATTATATTATATTACAAACGTGTATACAAAAATGTATACAGTTCAATGAAAACAGTACTAATAACACTAATAATAATAAAATAGAAATCATTTAATATACATATTACATATAACAACTTCCTTATAGACATGTAGATATCTATTATTTGCTCTGACATTCATTTCAGCTTCGCTTTCCGACATCCCAAGATGCAAAGCAATGCGTACCATTTGAAAACCAAATTAAGCCACTCTGATAAAGCTGCTACCCAGAGAACAGCGGTGCCGGTCCGTCGATGTGTGTAAAACACCACAGGAAAGACCAGGAGCACTGCAGCTTTCGGGTCTCCCAAATGAGAAGCAATTAGCCAGAAATCCTCGTAGCTTCTCGTTCTCCGCTGAAGCTCCTCCGCCATCCGAACGCCTTGGCGGTATATGGTCTCCATTATAGGAAGATGAATAAACGTCAACCAGTAAAATTAAGATCCCTTGTTCATCATACTATTATCTTACAGCTCATATATACATAAACTAAAGCGCATGTCAAAGACGCTCCTGCAGCTAGTAATCTGTCAGTTGTGTTGTTTTGCAAACTTCCACGTTACCGCTATTACGGTGGCCGCAGTGGGACAATCTTCACTAAAACGCATATTTTAAATGATATCCCTTGAATGTAGACGTAAGATTTCGTTATATTTGGGACCTGTAGTCGTAATCTTGTTAAAATACTTTTACTCATTCGATCTTCGGACAAACTTTTTATATTTGTATCTTATATTTATTGAGTACATGTTCAAAGAATATTTGCAGAATAATGTTAGAGATGGTGCTGTAATAATAAATTGGGCCAGTAGTAGATATATCCACACCGTATGTGATAAATGTACTGATGTAAATACATCAGTTGATACTGAATTTGCCCTTCTCTCTCTCTCTCTCTGTTATTTTGGATTGACTTTAAAAATGGACAAGATATTTTTTTTTCAATTCAATTCAAGTTTATTTGTACAGCGCTTTTCACGATACAAATCATTGCAAAGCAACTTTACAGCAAATTAAGTTTCTACAATATTTAGTGGTAGCTCATCAGTGGTGACTGTCAGTCAATGTAGATATGGCAGAAATGTACGGAAAAATCAATTAAAGACGTAATCAAACAGACGATGAACACTATTAACAGCAATTATTATATTAAGATAGACTCTTTTAAAGTTTTTTTTTCTTTACAAGCCCAAACTTTTCCGAAAAACAAAATTATTTTAATTTTGTTAATCTTTTTATTTATTTTGCAAAGTTTTACATTCACGAGTCAAGAATAACTAAAAAGAAAATAATAAAAAAAAAACTCATTATCAAACATTATCAAGATGTGCTTTGATGAAACCCTTCCAAACATGAAAATACAAAATAAAAAAAAACTAATGGAAGAAAAAAATTCTACAACTTTCCAAATTCATGTAACTGCCCAAATCTTGTTTATTCCGCATTTATATTCTGTTTTATATATGTTATTTATCTCACATTCTCTAAATTGTTAAATATTGCTATGTACTTTTTGTTCTATATTTGACTGTTATTCCTAAGCAATTTAAAAAGAAAGAAACAATAAACTGGTTCCTTTCCTGTCACCTGACGTGCCTCTGCGTCGTACGCCGCCACGCCGCCGCATGCGTTTACGTAAAGCTCGCGCTCCGGTTTCCCTGGCGGAGAAGATGGCGGCTCCTGGACCGGGGGAGTATTTCAGTGTTGGGAGCCATGTCTCTTGCCTCACCTGTTTAGGCCAACGTTTGCAGGGAGAGGTGGTAGCTTTCGATTACCCGTCCAAGATGTTGACTTTGAGTATCCTTTATTCCTCGCATATGTGCGTTTAAACGGCCGTACTGTGAACTGAGGCTCCGTGCGAGCGTGTTTATGTGTGCGCTAGTCGCCTCATTCAACGCCTGTTCTTGCTTTATTTACTTTCTGTGTTGTTTTCGCTTGGGTTCTTTTTTGCTAAGTTGATTTGATGTGGGTTCATAGTTGGAAACGTGTTAGAGAAGTGTTGTTTGTGGTTAGCGTGTTGATTAGCATGTCCTCGCCACCGACAGTATTAGCATGCGCGCTAAGCTAATGTCTTTCCAGTGCAATAATGGCAGCTCTCACAGGACATGTAACACAATATAAATTCTTTGTTTTTCATTAAGTGTTATTTAGGGAAAATACGCCAGGCTGAGTATCAGCCACTTGGTTTTCTCATAATACATGAGGTATCTACCTAGCTCTACTGTTCTCAGATGAGTTATATCAGACCAGACGAGTGTTGACACCCTGTGACCTGGCATGCGTGCAAGATTCAGGCTTTTTAAAAAAATCATTATTATGTTTTGGAAAGTACTGCCTATATAACATGTCTTTAAGGCTTTATGCCTGTAATATATTTATAAAAATCAAAATTAAAGTTTGCACGTTCTGTATCATATTACATCAGGCTATTATTGCTCAGATACTATGATGTCAAGTCACCTTTATTTGTATAGCGCTTTATACAATACTGATAATGCTGTGAGAATATTAAGCCCATCCGGAAGGAGGAAAAACACCTCTGTTTTATTCATAGGCTCAAACTGAGCAAAAATATGCAATTTGGTGCAGTTGTCGATATTTATAAGACCAAAAAGTGAATGAAAGTCTGATGCTTGTAATGCAAATCAATGAGATCTTTATTACAGACTGATTATATAGCGAAAATGATATAAATATCAGTTGTTACTCTACATCTGCCAATAATCTTGGTGAGCTGATGTTTAAATGCTTGGTTTTATGATCAAAGCTCTGTAGTTTCCAAATATATAATGCAATGCGATCCAATGTTGATTGAGAGATGAACAAATCTTAAGCCTGATGATGATCATATTTGCTACATTTTAACATGATTTAAAAAATAATAATAATAATTTGTATGGATACGTGGTTGTAAACTGAGTCCAGTAAATGTTCATTTTGCTATGTTAATGACAAATTATTCTTAGGATTACCACTAAAAAAAAAAGAAAAAAGATTTCATTACAAAAAGACGTGACCCACAACCTGAAAGTGGACTTTTTTACAATTATACTAAAAGGCGCTTTACTTTTTAAGTGAAGTATCATTGAGATGACAGAAGGCATGTAGATTGTGTGCAACAGGTTTTTCAGCAAAGTTTTCATCATGTGGATCATTTAGAGGCTTTAGAAATCCATGAATAAAATAACAGTATGCATTGATTTAAGGATAGATTGAATGGCTAAGCAGCATCTGGGGAGTGTGTTTGTGAGTTTTTCTGGTGTCTACAAAGATGGAGTCTGATTTTGACTTGTTCATAGTGATTAATGAATTAGTGTGCTTGTCACACAAGCGGTTGACCTTCATATATCTAGAAATCCCATAGTGTGTTTGTGAGTTTTTCTGGTGTCTACAAAGATGGAGTCTGATTTTGACTTGTTCATAGTGATTAATGAATTAGTCTGCTTGTCACACAAGCGGTTGACCTTCATATATCTAGAAATCCCACTTAAGTGTGACCTTTGATGGTTTGATTCTTTGACGTATTCAGCCTGTCATTTGTCACTTTTTTCCCCCCGTCTTATGTTTTGTTGGCTTGCTCAACCAGTTACTCATATTGGTCTCATTTGTTATATTTTCTATTTTGACTCTTTACTTGCTTTGTGTATGGGCCTTAAAATAATTGCTATCTAAACTTGTGGGGACTGAGTCAGAGCAGCAGAAGGAAGTGCTGATTTCCCAAAAAAAGAGGTTTCAACAGCTAGCTATTTGTCTTTTTTTTTTTTTTTTTCGACATAATCTTGACTTCATGTCTTCGTTTGGTTTTTCCTTAACCGTTCTCCTCCCAGAATGTCCTTCCTCCAGCGGTAAGCCCAACCTCAGTGACGTCATCTTGGTTAACTTAGCCTATGTTTCAGATGTGGATGTTATTAATGACCGCACTGAGACTCCTCCTCCTCTAGCATCCTTGAATATTAGCAAGGTAAGCTCACATTTTATGCTTAAATCATATTGAGAACCAAAGGTGTGTGGTACAGTCACAATTTTATATACTAGTATGAGTCATTTTAATTCATGGTAAGGTATGGGTCGACCGTTTATTGGCGCCGGTATTAAGCATTTTTATGATTATCGGTATCTGTCATTTTCAAAACCGATTCGGCGATAAAATAACTTACTTTTGTGACCAGCTGGATATGCAAATAGATGGTAACAATCGTGACAAAATATTTGGGTTGTACGTGTGTGTTTTGGTCACATTGTTTTAACTGTTAGAGGTTAGTGTCCTCTCAGCCTTGACAGCAAACATACTGCTGTTCTTACTTTCTAATGCAGCATTTAGACAACACATTATTTAATTTATAATTATATGAAAATATGCACTATAGTGTACTGTATTCTAGGGCTGCACGATAAATCGAAATGAAATCGAAATCGTGATTAGACAAAAGATGCGATTGTCATGCGTATCTTTCAATGAAGCACGGTTCTGTGATCAGTAGTAAATCTCCATCTCGCGCAGAAACTCCAAATACACCCCGCAGAAGAAACCCAGGAAATGCCTATAGCGGTTCCTGAATAAACAAAAGATTTAAATGCTTATATTGATTCAACATGACTAATAAACACACGACTACGGAGATATATGGTTTATCTGAGTTCTTATTATGTATATCTATAATGCAATGCTAATCGACGGCCTTTATCACTGCTTAGAATACTATGAAATATGTTGCGTGCTTTATTCTGTGTAAGAAGCCACATCATCTCACAGAAGGATTTATTTCAAACACTCGACTGACGTTATGAAGTGAGTTTGGAGTAAAAGCATGTTATTAAATGTGGTATTTTCACGTGCTTTCAGATGAAGCAGCATTTACTACACAGAGCCGTAGTTCACTGAGAAGCTACGCAAACCGCTGTCATTATCGCGAATGATTTCTTCGATTTCATAATCGTACGATTATATCGTCTGCAATATTTTTTTTGCGTAGCTTGTCAGTGAACTACGGCTCTGTGTAGTAAATGCTTCTCCATCTAAAAAGCAGGTGATGCAGATTTACTACTAATCACAGAACCGGCTTTACTGACAAGATGTGCATGACAATCGCATTCGATTAATCGTGCAGCCCTACCATATACACAGAGTTTCGTTGTCTGTTTTAAATCTGCATCTGAAGCAGCCTCAGTGTCAAAACAAACAGCACGTGCTGTCAGTGATTCACCTCTAGAGGCCGCTCTCGTGTTGTATAATGACAGCGGAGCTTCTCAGCTCCAGCAGTGGACGCAACCTGGAAAAACTATCGCCATGGATTTTTGCCGATAGTTCCAGCAATCAACTATCGGTGCCGATTAATCGGCAAAACTGATCAATCGGTCGACCTCTAATGTTAACGCCTATTGTACTTGTTAAAAAAACTTGGTACTTCAACTTAAGGTGTACTCTGTACTCAGAATCTGTCTGACTTTCACACTCAAGCCTTTAAAGCATCAACTTAATACACATTATCGTCTGTTGGTGTGGATGCTAATATTGTTATCGTTAGTGTTCAAATTCTTATTGCAAATGGACTTTTACTTAATTTTCCA